CCAGATGCGGGTATCGATAACAGCAGGACAACGATAATAAGGCTGCCGATATGGACAGACTCGACTATGACGCAAAACGACCCAAGCGATGTCGCAAAAATATTACCTGTCGCGAGAGCCATCTCACCTACTCCTCTTGCTTAAAGTGACGATATTTCTTTTTTGCCAAGGGACGATATAGTTGCGTCCCCAGTCTACCATTGTTCTCGCGACCCTCCCGAGTGTCCTACAGAGCGCATATTTGAATGCGGAGACAGGAACTCGTAGGTAGGGGGTATTAAAACGCCGTAAGCAGACTCTCAACTCACAACCAGCCCTCAGGGGTTGCTCGGAACAGTCAGTCGACAGAAACAGCGTGCATCCAAGCGAGGACCCCGTAAATTATCCTCGTCCACATTCGGAGAATGCACCGGAAAGACGAAATAAAAAACCCCGTGACCGCCAACAGTGTCTGGTTGTTCAGGCTCGTCTAAACCGAATACAGTCAGACCTGAAGACCGTATTTCGGAGGATCTAGCGTCTTTTCTTGGTCACTAAACCAATTTATCCTGGCGGACATGGAATTAAAAGTCCTGAAAGCATTCGGGGTAGGAAAAAAGAGTGAAGGCAGGACAGCAATACTACCACCTCGTCCTCTCAAAATTATGCTGGAGAGCAAATAGCAATTCAAATTGATCCTCTCAAAATGCCAACCCCAGAAACCCACATAAACAGGTTTTCCAACCGTACTTCTCCACAGCGGACGGCTGAAACGCCCGGAACTTGTCTCGGAATTAAAATTGAGACTAAAGAATGGCGAATGCAGCCTAACTATCTTCTAGGTGAATGAGGTTGGGAAAAATAAGTCGTTTGAGTGAAAGGAGCCAGTAATACTAAGATCGACGACAACTACTCAGCTAGCATAGACACCCTTGGGGAACCAGCCGCTCGAGGCAACCACACAAGTACGTCCATGCACTGATTTTCCACAGATGAAATGCATTTGACGCACGATGATACGGTTCTCCTGACGGTGCTCAATAACTGCCTGCGACCGTATATACCTTTTTATGCGCTTGTGTTCTGAATTTTGTTCCACGTGCTGGTGTTTGCCGGTCTGGTTTCCTGATCCATTCATTGACCCTAAAACATGCAGAAGAAATTTATAGTTTTGCGCCAGTGTTTGCCTGACTTTTCTGACACGCTGATATGTTCATATGAAACATTATTCGCTTGTCAGTTGTATACACGTTCTTACTGTTGGTTGCACGTATTAACCTAACGGCGACTACTTATTCTGCAACCGAAATTTGAATAATGCACAGAATCTATCTAACTGCTCTAAAATTTACTTGAAAATTCATATATGCCGGCTATGACTATACCCCCAACGGTTTTTTTAGAAAAGTTCTCCATCAATTACTTATTTAGCTTACCGGCAGGCGATGGATTCTATGGGTATGATGTCAAAATACTGCCACTGATCGTTATTGCATAGTCCGGATGAGCTGGACAATTGCAGTGTTCGAGAGCAATTAGCTTTGCAGCAGGACTACTAGCATATCTGATTGCTCTCGACACTGATATCTGACAGGGCATCTCCTCTACAAGCCGTCCACTCTTTCCTTGTTTTGTCTTCGCTTCTATTTCATTTAAATCGTTGTTCTCTCCTACTGCATCTCGTTTCCCTTAGGCCTCATTGCAGTGGGTGTACTGCGCTGGGTTAGGCTTTGATCGCCGCTTTCCGCACGGTCTATAAATATGGACAAACCGTTTTCACTTCAGATTTCACTCAAAACGCTTGCTGGGTGACATATTGACTGCCTGCATGAGTACACGATGACATACACACTTGTGGGTGCGACAAGTACTTATAAATGACGATGCATGATTTGAAAGACTCATTAAAGTACTCTGGACTTACTTCCATAACAGACTACACAGCGGTACCTAGGCAAAAAAATTACTATTAATGGCACCATTTTATATGGTGGCCTTGTTATTGACTTCGTGTATTTAATCTGTCAATTACATTATAATTAAGACGTCATATGTTCAATAGTTCACTCACATTCCTAACTTTCTTCGCGTAAGGTACTGTAGATGGGCAAACTCAGTAAATATTAGCCGAAATTCCGAAATCCGGTTTCGACTCAAGAAGATTACGTAGGCTGACTTGCAGTATTCTTTACCGTGCGGTATAATCCCGCATTAATTCAGTTACTTCAGGATGCCTGCGATAGTCTTTCCGGTCGTAGGTAAAACCTCCACTTTGTGGAAAGCACTACCTCAGTAGTCCGAATTATTACCATTGAATTTCAATGTCCTACTAAATTCAAATATATTTTACAAACTCCATATGTAAACACACTCTTTGTTTCACTTATTTAGAAGAAAATTACGTCTCCTTCTAACTCAAATTCTGTACTTGAAGAAAGGGTGTAATTAGGCTTTAAAGAAGTTTCTAAGTATCAGATTGCTAAAGGCCATGACACGCCAGTTCACAAAATATCCCATCTCTGCATTTATTAGTATGGCTTGTGAATATGAACTAGTGATATAGCTCAAATCCACTGCTAAACTTTATAAATCCCCACTAGTATTCTCTTAATAAATTGAAAAAAAATATAAGTTATTCCGTACACGGCAGATGTACGACGTGCAGTTTTGGGAGGTCTGTGGGCAAGTGCACCGCGATCAAAATTGTTCGGGAAATTGAAGTTTTTTAAAACCAATTTATATCCTTCTTCCGAGTATCATATTCGAGGAAAATGTGATTTTCTGCCCAATGAGATAGGGAATTAATATTCTTATGCTTGTCTTGTATGTAATATAGTTAATATTATAAGGGTATCAAAATCGATTATTAAAGAATTATGCTGCTAAAGTGGTCACGTTTACACGGAGTGCAGTTTATTCTGACGGCCGGAAAGAAGGTTGTTCAAAAACCGGTTCTCCCGAAGTAACTAATATATCATGTGATTGTTATATGCTGTAATTAATCTTATAGCCCTACCTATAGTATGTGGGCTAACTCATGAAATGTCAACCGAAATCATAAAATGCGTTTTCGCTTCCAAAAGATTACTTAGATAGGGTTGAAACATTATTCCTCTTGAAGTGCCAGTCGATAGTAATTCAGTAACCTCGGGATGCTGGCTTTCAAAAAAACTTCTTTTTGGCCGCGTGCAAAACCCACACTTCGTAGAAAATGGCTACTTATGTAGCGGGATGTTTTTAATTGATGTTCGATGCCCCTAAAGATTCAATTATATTTCATGGAAAACGTGCATGAACTTACTCATTCTTCTACTCACTGATAGAATATTGTGTCCTCTTCTAGATTTTATACTCAGAGGAAAGGTCTAATTCAGTTTTCAAAGATTTTTCCAAATTCCGTGCAATTTTGAAGTTGACTTGCCGTTGAAGTTGCATTTAGGGTTTATAAACGGCAAGCCATCTATTTTCCGCGTACGGAAAACCGTACCTTTCTCTATGGAATTTAGAGGAGACCATAAGGGAGTTCATATAATTCACCAGTGGGATTGCGCCATATTGAAAACTTTACAAGCAAGATCGATTAATGCAGTGACGCGATGTTTTATGAAAGGGCATTCCACGGTTATAAAAAATTTCATTACTAGAAACTTTTTACAACCGAATTATATCTTTTCTTTGAGTATAAAATTGGAAGAAGACGTCGTTTTGTACCAAATGATTAAAAAACCGCATATTTTATGCATATTTTGATGAAAAATAATTGAATTTTTAGGGACATAGAAAATCAATGCGAAAAATTCATGCTACTTCAGTAGCCACTTTTCATAAAGTGTGGTTTTACATGCAGCCAAGAAGAAGTTCCTTCGAAAGATAACATGCCGGGTTAACTGATATCTTCTGTATATATGCTGAATGATGATTAATTCTGCAACGTTACTAAGGTAGTCCTTTCGAAAAGAAAATGCAGTACAGAAATTCAGTTTACATTTCACGCGTTAGCCCGTCTACTGCATATCATCTCCTGGGATCGAAAGCCCATTTCGAAATTTCTGTAAACATTTAATGCGCTAGTGCATTTAATGTACACTGCAGGTACTACGATCACTTGAAAACAAAGTTTGTCCGCTTAACGTCTCGCATTCTCCCTCGATCCCACTATCATAGACGATCGCGGACGGGTTGGAGTGAGAATCCGTGATGTCAAGTTAATAAACCTTCTAGTTCCCCTGACTGCTGCTGATGCGTTCCATAGTTACCAGCTGGCGCACGCACCTTTATACACATAAAACGAATTTCCTCAAGGTATTTAGACGAGGTCTATGATAACAGAAGGGTTAGTCATGTGGGCAGATGGCGAAACGCGACATATGCACTAGGAAGGAATGTCCAAAATTTGTAAACTTAAACATTCCCTTGCGATTTGATGAACTGTAGAATTTATTTTAAGAACTAACGCATAGCACATTTAGCGAGATCAAATCGTAAGACGTCAGAAAAGTAGTTTTCCACGTCAGTAAGATACGTAGGTAACTTAATAGTATGCCATACCGGTCCAATGTATTCGTAAATGTCTGGTATTGTTATTCAACTAAATCGCATAGGCGTCATGTCATCAGATAGTTTTTTCGACCGACCTACCTTACGGGCGTTACTGGCGTTCCACCAAATACTTCCCTAATCACTTTCCTACCACGTCACTTAGTTACTTCATTAACCAGTGTGTAGGCAGTTAAGGAGTGAGCGTGAACACTTTTTTGAAATGCCAACATTATACAATCTCCGCTAACACTTACTCTGGGTTGGATATGCCTCCCAATACGGCATGCTACATACTACATTCCCGTCCTACCTGTTCGCAGCCATAAGAAAGTTAGCGGACTTGCCTAAGATAATCTACCGTTTCTCACTCTGGTTAGGCCTTCCGCCATGGAAGTCGTATGCGTATGGTGGACAGCACAATGGCATCCTTTGACCATATCTACTATCGCGCACCCGATGCGTCCCTGCCGTTGTCCTTCTCTGAGAAAACGGAAAAACCTCAGCCATAAACTCTGCTTGCAAAGCGCTAACAACACACGCCCTCACGCCTGCCGATTGGTCGGTCCGCAGGCCAATACGGTTTAGGTTCTAATCCGGCAAATAGCGTTAACGCATGATGTGCTAGGTCTTTTCCTGCCTTCTCATAGTTTGCTTTCTCAGTCCAAAGGTCATTTATGAGGTCATTTTGATGCATTTGAACACATTTCGGCGTAAGAGTAATTTTCTGATTATCGCATATTATATTCCTTGCTGTTTGGTACGTTTTAAAGGTCCTACCCGTTCAACCGCTCCTACCACCATTACCATTCGACTGGTGGACGGGGGAAAAAGTTTTCTTCAGTGCTGCGACACTGTAATCGCGCCGTATTTACTAAACAATTTTCCTTTGCCAATCCTGTCGACGAAGAACCACTTATTGTCATTTAAAAATGGAGGGATTTTGTGACCATACCTAGAGGAAAACCGATGACGGAAGGTATACGCAAGCTTAAAACTATTTAGAATGTCTCTGAATGGTCCTTTTTAAAATTACTCATACTTTTATGATGGACTTTAATCTAGCATTCTGTAACTCTAACAGGTAGTCCAAAATATAAGCAAGACGGATCTTAATCGAGGCGATACTAGTAGCGTTGAATGCATAAGAACGAAGACCATTGTTTGTTAATTACACTATGGAGGTTGGCTATCCTTTAAAAAGACATTGTTAAAGTAAAGAACCAAAATGTAGTCGAGAACATGTTTCATTGATTGAATTTACTGTGATGCAGCACAAATTCGAACCCATGACAACGACCAAAGGACCATAACTACAATGCCGTACGCTAAATGTCGAAGGCAATTTCCAAACTGTTTAAATCACCCATGTTAGATATTGCCAATTTTCGTACTTATTTGTCTGGCAAACCTTAGGTCGTTTCGTTTTGGATATCGACGCGACCTTTTACGCGGGCGCTGTGTTTTACTGTGTCCTGTGCATTATGTTTTTGGTCTTGCGGCTGTAAGGTCGTTCGTTATCTGACTGGGCTGTTTGACCGTTTGGCAATGGATATAGGGAAGAAGTTCGTTAGTGCCTGTAAAGTCGACAGCAGCAAGTCCGAGGCGATAGTTGCTATTGAATTACTTATAAATCTCATTAAACGCAGTGATGTTCTCACCGTCCAGGGATTGGACGACCTTATTAACGATGCAGTTAAACAAATGAGGGAAACCGACAAGAGCAATTCATCCGTCAAATCGGCGTGTGAACTCTTCCAGAGGTTCATCACTTTAGCAGTTTTGGATACCGTCGGTGATTTTGAAGGATGCAAGAGGGTCATTCTTGAGCGCGCTGATGTATTTCTTAGAAAAGTAAGTCGCGGTGGCCTCGCACCTAATCACTTTTTTACGTGTCCCGTCGTGACTTTATTCATTTCCCATCCCAGATTTCGCGATGTCGTCAGCAGATCTCAGCAAACGCCCTCCTTCTTTTTGCGGACAATGCCCGACTCCTGATCAACTCGTACTCCCGGGTTGTTGTTGAAGCACTTGTCCATTTTGTTAAATCTTCAATGAACCGTCGACAACTTCACTGCTACGTAACGGAATGCATGCCGAGTTCCTCTGGCGTGCACATGGTTGGCGAATTAATGAAATCGGGCGTTTCTTGCACGCTTGTCCCGGACACTGCTGTCGCCTATTTAATGCCACAGATTGACGCCGTTGTTGTAGGGGCTGAGGCCGTCGTTGAGAGTGGTGGCTGTTTGAATGCGCTAGGCTCGTGCACCATGTGCATGATCGCACATAGTCTTGGAAAACCGGTTTATGTTATGGTTGAGTCCTTCAAGTTTTTACGCGTCTATCCACTCGACCAGAGACATATCGCTGACGAACTGAAGTGGAGGGCATCAAAACTCAGGGAAATACGCTCGAAGACTATGCTCGACGAAGTCAAACCTACTGAAGACGAAGATGATGTGTTCGAGGAAATGAATGACGTATGGCATAAGGTGGAGAAGCAGAAAGTGTCTGTGGTGGACAAGGATATACCCTCGGTTGATTACACAAACCCGCTTTACATTACTGCACTCGTCACAGACTTAGGAATCCTCACACCGTCCGCTGTTAGTGATGAATTGATTAAGCTGTACCTTTGAATGTATACAAATAGATATTTTGAGCCCGCTTGTTTTTTTGGATATACTTCTCCATTTTCGTCCCGCTGTACAATGCAAATATTTTGAATTGTTTCAGCTCAACAACATTTTAGACGATGCAATTCTGTTTCTTCATCGCGCTTCTAATTCCCACGAACATTTTCGTCCTTTCCGCACATACTTCATTGCCGTATAGCAGACTTCTCACACTCTTTGTGGATGGTCTTCGCTGGGATTACTTCAACGACACAGAACTACCTGGTTTAGGTCGGCTAAATTCGGAAAGTTTCAAGGTCCAGCACATCAAACCGGTCTTCCCTTCTGACTGTCATACGAACATGCATGCTCTTTTCGCTGGTAAGCACAGTTTTGTAAAAAATGTAAAATTATTCACGGTAGAAATTAAAGTGTAGACTTGGTCTCTGGTAGTCGAAACTCCCCATCGAAAAATCCCTATTTACCTAGCAGTGCCCACTTGGTAGTTTACGAGCCAAATTCCTTGCAGTTTCAACGCAAGAGCATCTCCTTTACAAGCAAGTTCTGGGAAGCTGGCCAATATATCCTGAAGATTTTTGTTAAAATCTAAAATTGGATGTAGCTTTCTGCCAACCCAATCAAAAAAACTCTCACTCTAGCATGTTCGTCTTCCTTTGAATCCTGGATTAACTTCTATACGTTTTGCATCCTAGCGCCTAGTTTGTTAGTCAAAATTAGGAGGCAACCGTAGATTAAAGCTGCTATCCTTTATTTTCTGCTCAGTTTTTTTCGAGCAGATGCAATTAAATTAGCGACTTATTTGTGCACTGTACGCTGGGAGACGAACTTTTGGCCGCTTATTCCTGAACAAGCGTCAAATTTTCGGGATACCACGGTTTCGTAAAACATCCTCGTTTTGGAGAAAAATTGAAAGTAGTTCAGAGGATTGTGGAGCTTTTCTCACAAAAATAAACGTTGCGAGATGGTGCACTAAATTTATTCCGCATTTCTTGATTGAGAAAAACGTCTTGCATTTGCCTGCCAACGCCAGGTGAACTCGTAGAAGCTGCCTAATCGCTCTTTTTGATGCAAAATTTTACCAGTTTTCTCAAAAATTTGCTCTTTTTCTACGCCAAAGGCTATGGTCGCTACTTTGTTCTCTTTTAGGTCACATGCGTCCACACCCTGATTTTTTCAGTGGGCAGTTCAGCCCGAACTACACGCACCCCGACCTGCTTTGGCACGCCGCTGCCCGTCAGGTTGTTGAATAGTTACCCTTCGTCTTTTTCCAGAGCAATGTCTGACAAAATTTCTCAGTTTAACTCGAGGGTTTCGTCTATTAGAACCTAATGACCTGACAGGATTCATCCCGAAAATGACCTCTCCGTTTTTTAAAAATTTCCTCGACCTGATGTTTGATTGAGGGTGAAGCCCAACGTTTTTCCTGTCTTCTTCACAAGACGCGAGTGTTAAAACAAAAAAGTTCTAGCCAGTACTCTGTGATGCCTTCCTTTATTCGCTTCCTTACTAAATGGTCCAAACCTATATCATTTGTGAATTAAGAGGGTCACCCAAAGTTCATATAGTCTCTTTTATCTTCGCTTCTCAGTTCCTTAGCAAACAGTTGCCAACGTCTGTGGCCTTGGTAGCCTCCTACTTCACTTTTTCTGTTTGCGTCTTTGCGACCGTAAATAATACCAGTTAGGTTTTTGTCTGCCGAAGCAAACAAAATTGTTCCCTCCAAACCCTCAGTCTCCATCGCATTATTATGTTGTTCTTTTAATAATAGAGATAGACGTGATCCTTGTCTTTATCCTGTCTGCAATCCACACAAATCTTACATATTTTTATTTTTAATGCTCAAAAGGGTATGCGCGTTGGTCTGTACCACTTCCCATTCTGTTCGGACAAGATTTCCGCAGGTGTATTTTCAGAGAATCTGCGCTGTATCGCTCCTCCTGAAAAGCATGAATCTCTGAACACCACCATTACCAAGGCTCTATCAGATATGAAAAATGGTCTCATAGATTTTGCCAGTAAGTTTTGACACCTGTCATTGCCTCCTTCTTACATGCTCTACTTCTACTTGCATGTTCCACTCCAGGCGTCTCCCACGCCCGTAGGAAGCATTAACTATTGTTTAGGTAATACTTTGGCAAACGCCGGATTTGGTTTGCTTCAGGACTAAGAACTTGCGGTACGCTAGTTGTAAGTTGCATTTCGCGTTCCTGTGGAACCAACCGCTTTTTCATTAATGGCTTTTGCAAACGCGCTTCTGCTGCCTTACGGCTTTACATTGCTTTTTTTAAAGTGCTCTTCTTGTCTCTTGATTCTCAGATCTGTGTTGGCTGCAGACGTCCTTATAACTCAGCTACATACACATGTGCCCCTTTTACGGCCCGTTTTGACCCGCACTACTCAATGTCCAGTCCCCCGCCTAAAATATCTGCCTTTATTTACGGTAATCAGTAACCATGATGACAACGCAGTTCCAACCAGTCCTTCAGCTACATTAACGTAAAAACATGCCAATTTCATTATTCCTTCGCAGCGAACCTTTCGGTCAGATTCGACGTTATTTATATGGAGCTCCTAGATCAGTTTTGCGTGTGTCATATCGAGACTATTTCTCTCTTTGCCAAGCCTTCGAGTATTTAAAGTCGACTTCTGGGACGCGGGGGTTGTACTATAAGTGGGTGAATTCGCAAAATGGAATAGCGGACTAAAGGTCTCCTTACCAAATCACCCATTTCGATACCTCATTAATTCACATTTTCTCGTACTCGCTGCACTCTCGAAAGACTAAGAATAATCATCATCTAGCTGGGATATTCATAGCGTCAAAAAATAGAGGCGCGCACTTGCGAATTTCGCTGATTCATCACAGTCGTGTGTAGTTTTTGTTGCAAAAATCCGCGAGTTCCTGTTATTTTGAAGTTCTCGTCCCTTACTCTTATTATATCTAAGGTTGAATTGATGAACGCAAAATGGACTCCACAGTCAAGATGACGCGTTGGCCGCACACTTTATATCCAAACTTGATTTCAAAAGTTTCCGTCGTGCAGCCCACAGGGCGCAAACATCATCACGTCCTGATCGAGAAAATCATAGCGCAACGCCGCTCCCAAATCTTGGTGATGCCCTCTTTTCTGCCTTCCTGTTTGAAGAGCCACACTTGTGATAGTCCCTCACATAATCCCCACTCAGTTCCATTTCGTATACCCATACGATTGTTCGTGCAAAAGAACCTCGTATCAACGACTAAGCACAGCATGTGAGAACCCCTTCGTCTGCTTGGAGCGAACATGCGCGCGGAAAGATGAGCGCGTGGCCACTGAGACAGTACCTGCATTAGCATGAGCTTTCGGTCTCGTGCAGGTCCTATACTCCTTAGTGTGTTGAAAGCCTGGCAAATCTGTCTAGACCTAAGGCAGACGTGGTCGAAATGCCAGGACCTAGAAACTCCAACAGATATGACGCAGTTCTTGTACTACGCCCGAGGGAAAGGCGCCTGTTTTGTCATGAATGAGTCCGTCAGTTCATTTTTGGAGCCCTCGCGCGATTCGCCTCTGTCTGGTTGCAAATGCATATGAGATGGACAACAAAGGCATGGATAGGCGCGTCGGAGAAGGACTTGAAGGCGATAATGTGTCCAATTTTCATTATTGCCGATGTAGGGGAGAGAGGAAGAAATCTCGCCTATAATGCCGACGGTAACAGTCCAATCCACAGTGGTGGTTGAGACCGCCAAAAGTATGGGGTACTGTTTTAGCAATCGACTTGGCCATGCGAGTTCATACGCACTCACTGCGCCCAACTGACGCGATGGGAATACGCCAGTTACAGCACTTGACTCTGAAAGTACACATTTTCCACGCCTGGCTGAGGCGTGCCCTATCCCTCAGGTGATACAAATCAGGTCCGAAAATTTGCCTCCAATGACGAAATGAGCGCGTAGATCTGAACCGAAGGGAAAAAGTAATGTCACGGGATTGCAAACGGCTAGTACCCACGGGCAACTAAGTTGGTGCGCAATTTGAATGCGATGTTGGTATAGAGAAAGGTTTGCGTGTGAACCACTACCGAGTACAGAAAATTAAACAAAAGCAAGCACTCAAACACAGTCCCCAAGGTGATTTTAAAATTACTTCTTGATTTACTGGCTCAATCGATTCACAGTTTAGCTAGCAACCGGGAAAGGAACAGAATTCAGAGGAGGCCAACGCAGGGTCATTGCGTACAGGTAGACTGATAACAGATTAACCAGGGAGGGTGGTGCGATAACCCAAACAAATGCCAGACCCCGGGTGTGATGGCACGGAAGACTAGTACAGTAACAGTATGAAAACAGCTGATGGCCCACTTGTTCCTACCGTATTGGTGTACATAAAGAATGATAGGGTAGCATGCGCGAATAGCTTGTCATAGTGCAATTTGTAGACAGGCTCACGGCAGTTAGGAATTCTAGATAGAAACTCCGTTGTAGTCCCACCTAAGTGTAAAAAATCATCCTGGGAAGCAGATTAAAAATGATCGAATAAGCAGAGAAAACCCACTCAGTTAAAATAGCCTTCTAGGTGGGCTCTGGATGTGATTAGATCCAAAATAGATGTTGGATGTGGAGTTACCTGGTAGGTAAATCAATCAGTCATACCCTAACCTGCCGCAACCAATGTGGCAGGAGCTTGTTTGCGTCGGGCGTCCGCTAGATCGGTGTGCGCCCATTCCTGATTGGATTTCAGTCTGTTTCACAAGATTTTGTGCGTCCCAAAGGCCAATTTGTACGGGACATTCAGTCCGCTGGTGTAAGTTCGGATGTTTTGGTTCCCGCAGGCTTCGTAATATCACTCGCGTTCCGTATGATACAGACGGTCGTCGAGAGTTGAGGGCATGAGCGGAAGTAGGCGCGATCACTGGAACAAGAGCGTCATTTGCTGGACGTTTCAAATTCATTCCCGAACCCAT